TGTCCACAGCGACCTCGGGACTGATCCTGCCTGGAGACAGCTCCCCTATTTCTTTACCATGAAAAGCCACTGAGGATGACGCCTTCTGCCTATCAAGAGCCTTCAAGCCCCAGATTGCCAATCTTTTCCTTGTCCCATGCACGGTACTCTGCCCGGCTGGCTCAGACAACTGTTCTTTATTGCACCTGGAATTCTATGACACGGCCAGTGACGACTTTCTAAAGTCCCCCATTCCTGGGTCTCTCCACACCTTCCCTCTGGCTGGCTCACAGAGCACGCTTCTAATATTAATACTGCTCATTTGTTCCCTCCCTTCCTTTGCTTTTGATGACTCCAGAAGGTAGAAGCATCTCATAGATTATTAATGTTCTAAATGGCCCCTCTGGAGACCAGGGCTGAGAAAGGCTCCAGCCGCCCTGCATCATTGGCTTCTATCCTATTTCTTAGACAGCAGCAGTCATGGCAGAAACGACACTCCAGTGCCTAATCACAATGACACCCTAAATGCTTTCCCACCCACTGCGCCCTCTGTGGCAAGGGCAAGGCAGCCGTATGAGTCCGGCTGTGGCAGGATGTGGCTCCTGGGGGTGGAGAAGCAGAAGTGTGACCTTTGAGTGTCTAGCTACAGAATCCCCATCACCCTCAATCCTTTTGCTCCAGCGATCTGCAAGGCCAAGGAAAATAAGCTTTGTGGCCCATGCACAGCAAGCAGAGGGTGATTTCAAAACTCCCAACAGCTGCCATCAGATGGCGGCTCCGACTGGAGGTGCCAGGGTTGTCAGAAGAGCAGCTCCTGTTTCATCATTCATAAAAGTCCTTTCAGTTGGCAAAAGAGAGAGAAGCCCTCATTCACTGCACTACACCTGCAAGGAACACAAGTCAGGCTTGCAATTCCCATTTTACAGAAAAGGGAGTCTGAGAGATAAGACAAAGTTCTCTAGCAAACGTCAGTGAGCCAAGGGGTGGTACTCTAACGGGAGAAGATGGGTAAGGCTATGCCCTGCCTACAAATCCAATGACAGCTAAGCCCCCCCCCCCCCCCCCCCCCCCCCCCCCCCCCCCCTACAACCCACAGCTCAGTAGGAAGTATTTGATTTCTCAGGCAACCTACAGTTTAATAAAATAATCATGCAAGAACATCAAATCAAATCACAAAATTCCTGTTCCTAGGAAGCAAATGATACTGACTGGCAGGCAGTTCAGAGACACGCTGGAATTTGTCAAACAGCAAAGGGCTGGAATTGGGGGTTTTCAATGTTTTTTATTTTTAATATCAAAACCAAGCAAGATTTCCAGTTTGGAGAAATGGAATCCCGAATATACTGGAACTTTACTGGCAATGGGTCTGCAAAAATCTGCCTCTCCATTGCAATGGCCCCTGGGCCTCCACCACTACAGCTTCACAGTTTATCTAAGGAGCCAGATCTTTCCTGCTCAAGAAGCTCCACAGGGTGTGGCCAGGAGGCCCGCAGGGGCACCTTGGGGGTGACCGAAGAAAGGCATCTAACAGTTTATTATCTACCACAGAGCCTTTTAAAGGACAAGCTCCGTGGGATGCAGTTCTTAGGGATCTGGTGTTTGCAGTTCTCATGAGCCGCCCTTTAGGCTGACAAGAACCTGACCTTATTTTCATCTTCACTAAGTGGTGGCTTGCAAGCTGAAGCAGCTCTTGGTCTGCTCTTAAGAAGCAGGGAGATCTGTCATGCTCTGAGGCTACCTTTGCCTCCATATCTTGGTCAAGCTACGAAATCTCCATTGTCCTTGCCCTGCTTCCAATTCTCATGCCTTTTCCCAGCCCAGGCTTCAGAAGGACAGGCACAGCTGCTCTGTGTGTGTGTGTGGGGGGGGAGAGCTGGCTGGTGTGTGGGGAGGGCTGGGCGATCATTGTCACCAGAGTTGGAGGTGGGATCCTGTGCAGTCCATCTTCAGCTTCCTGGGGATGAGCTCTGAGGGTCTGTTCAGGTGAATCATGTGATCAAAACAGTGGGTAGGGAAATGGAAATGGCTGTGGCAAAGCCAAAGCCCACTTCAGGTCCTTTGCATCTATTTGACAAGTGCTATGGCTGAAAGTTCTTGAGTCATCTGAAGGCTGGCAGGCTTGGGTAACATGCCTTCTGATCCAAAGGGACAAGCACTGCAGAGCATAGGTGTGGAGTTTAGGAGTGAAAGGCTCTGACCTCTGGAAGATACAGACCAAAGAGCAGTAAATGCCCAGGAAGAGAACACTGGTGTGTGTGTGTCTGTGTGTGTGTGTGTGTGTGTGTGTGTGTGTGTTTCCCAGAGGAAGGGCTTCTAAGATGTACCATGAAGTATGAACAGGCTCCTGCTGGGTAAAAGGACCCCAGAGGCTGAGGGAGCAGCATATCCTGAGGCCAGCAGCATGAAGAAGCAGAAGGTAGGCTGGGGAAATGTCCTTGCCACACACACACACACACACACACACACACACACACACACACTGGGGCTTTGCCTCAGTGACACAGGCCAGTATGCCCCAGCTGCAGTCTTTTACGAGTGCCCTTGTGCCCTCCTCCTCACCCTGTGCAGCACATTTACTAAGGATCCCTAGAGATGAGTGGTCCTAGTGAACACCTGGCCACCAAGTCTCCAGGAGCAGAGTGCATGGCCGTTACATGAGCTGTTGGCACTGGGCTGGACCAGGGTGAGCAGTGGGTCACTGGCGGTGTCGAGGAACCATCTAACTTAGTCCTGTACGGAGTGGAGCCCCAGAGTTTCTTCCTTGAAGCAAGCATATCACCAGCTCCTCACAGGGGCTGCAAGCCATCAAGTCTGATCCCTCTACTCCATGTTCAGTCTTCCCAGGGCCAACCTAGCTGACACTGCAATGCTCAGGGCACCTTCTGCAACTGGGATGTGGCACAGTGGTATTCTCAAAGCACAACAGCTGCCTAGTTAGCAAGGGACCACTATGATTGGGCACTAGGACTGTTGACATTCTCTCCTAGGAGCAGGGGGGTCAGGGGAGTCATCAGAGCCTCCCCTGAGTATCCAGCCCCTCCTCAGAGCTGGTTATATGCAGTACTGCCCTGTTGTGTGGTCTCATGGCCTAGGGATGGTGCTATCATATATGAGCTAGAGAAGATGAGAGGATGAAGGCTTCCATCTGTGTGGCTGCAAGGAAGCTGTCATCCATGCTGAGTGAAGACCTTACAATGAGGCTGCTTTGGAGTTGGTAATCCCTCTCACATATGCTATGTAAACAAGTCCAATAAACTCATTTGTTCCCTGGAGTGAGCTGTGGTGGAACCATACTTTGGTTTGTCATCAGAACTATAGGAGGAGTAGATGCTTACATTTCTCCCAGGGAAGGAATCCCTTCTACCTTTCACTGTGCCTCCTCTCACACCTGTACCACAGATCATCAGGCAATCTCCCGGACAGCCATGCAGCTTCAGAGACCAAACCCTAGCCTTCTCTGCAGTCCCAGCATGCTCCCTTCTTTGATGTCCAGCCAGCTCCTTCCTCCTTGTACCCTAGTTGGCCTCTCTTTTTGTGACACCCAGATTAGAGCCCTGTATCATGCCCAGGATCTGCCTGGGATGGATGAGGAAACAGTAACCCTTCCCTGGTCCTCACGCTGGGGTGTGGGAATTTAGGCTCCCAGTGACTGAGTGACTCAGATCAGGACAACACAGGATGAGCCTCCCTCACAGCAGGCCTGAATCAAGAAGCGCAAAAGGCAAATGTTAAAATTAACCCGTTTCAGCACCAGCGTGAGTCTTCACCCCAGTGGTGTGCAAATGCCTATTTTTGTGGCCTAAGAAACAGAAATAGCTTATTCTCACTCCAGCATTCCAGGTGGGCCTCTGTCCAGCAAGTGCCCACACTCTCAAGGGGCAGTCAGAGCTCCTGACACAGCCCACACCCAGAGCCAGTTCTGAAATAAGTCAAGGCATTCAGCTCTTCCAGCAGTTGTAGACAAACCCACCCGTTGTAGGTGAGCTCAGCCTCCAGAGACGGGTGGAGGCAGCTTGTGAGAACCATAGTTTGGATCCTAACAAATGGGTGTACAGTTCTCTGAGTGAAGGAGGGAGGGCTGCCAGGCCACTCCCACCAGGATCAAGATCTGTCTTCCTTCCCACACTCAGACTCTGCAAGTCGAAAGCAGAATGGCTCCCCTTGGGCTTACTCTACCATTCTGCCCCCCCCATCCCACCCACCTCAGATCACTAAAGCACCCAGATGTGTATAGCACAGCCTAGTTCCCAGGTATCTGGATCCTTTTGCGTTTGCATCTCACCAGAGCCCTGGATCTGGCCCTGGGACCTGGAAAGAACACCAGTAGGGAAGTGGTGGGCTGCATCCAAGAAGCTGGTTACAGATGCACAGCAAATCTGCAGAGGGACACAAAACTGGCAGTCTCGCATGCCTGATGTGGCCCTATAGCCAAGGCCACACTGACCATGGTATCCATGGAGGCTTTGGATTCTTCAGCCTATCTGTCCTTTGCCCTTGGCTTTGTGTTTATGGGGCTTCCTGCAATCAAGAATGAAGTACAGAGTCTTGCAACAGCTGGGGATACCTTGGGGGTTGTAGGCAGGCTCTCACATACCCTGCTAGCTCCCTGAATGCTGTGAGATTTGCTGCTTCTAACCTCCTCTCCTGTTGAATAGGCCCACACCCAGTGCATGAAGAATCACTGATGCCCAAGCCCACCCACATTTCCACTTCTTGATATTGCATTCCCCCAGCTGTGCTCTCCTCTGTATCACCATCTGTCTGTCACCGTCTCCTGCCTCAGCAGTAACTATGTCACCTTCCAGGGAAGCTCATGTGGGCCAGGCTCAGTGGGCCACCAGTCCTGCGCCGTGCCTCTTCCATGACTTGTACCTCATCTCCTCTTTCGAAAGCTCTATCTGCAGTACCCATGGTTGCAGACCTGGACTCGGGACTCAGGGACTCAGGGACTCAGGGAAGGTTCCTGTTGGTGCCCACAAACACGATTCCACTGTAGGTGGGGTGGGGAGCTCTGCCCTTACCTGCACCAGATTCCAGCCTTGGAGGGACTCAGCGATGATAGATGTAACAGACGGACAGACGCCTCCAAACACCATCAAATGGTTGGGCCCATACTTTATTGCATCATAGAAGGCTTTCAATCCCTTTGCATTGTCACACTAGAGAGAAACAGAGAGCAAAGCCCACATTAGACACAGGTTCTCCTGAGCCAAGGGTCCCATAGTAGGGTCAGACAGTCAACCTGCCACCATGGGAAACCCTTAGGCCTCAGTTTGCCCAGGGTGAACAGTTCCACCCCGCCCTAAGCCCAGGTCCTGAGCTTAGGGAAGTTTTGAGTACTACAACCCAGACCCTCTCTAAGCACCCTCAAAACCCAGCCCTCAGTCATCTCCTTTACACACAGAGAGGAAAGCCACCCCCTCCCCGGCCTTCTTTCCATAGTCATTTACATTTTAAAAGACGAGGCCACACTCTGGCTATTGTGAAAACAGCAGAGGACAAGTGTTGACAGGATGTGAAGAAACTGCCAGCTCTGAACACTAGCAGTGGTATAAAACATTACACTGAAGGAAACAGTATGTCTACCCCAAAAAGTCAATGAAGAATTACCATACGGTGCAATAACTCTACTTCTACATGAGAACCCTAAAGAATTGAGAGGAAGGACTCAAAGATATCTGTACCCCATGTTCAGAGCAGGACCAGTCAGTCATACAACAGCCATCTGTTGAGACATCTCAAAGTCCATCAACAAATGAAGGAACACGCAAACTACGGTATGCACATACAGTGGAATACTATTCAGCCTTAAAGAAGGAAGAAATTCTGACACATGATACAGCCAAATTAATAGTAAAAAGCAGGAAAAGGAGACTTATTTAATGTGGCCACAATGGAAAGTAGGAGAAAGAGAGTCAGTGATCCCTCTAGTTCATCTTCAGAGTCCTGAAGTGAGATTAAAGGTCACACAGGGGCTGGGGATGTGCACGTCTAAGCAGTCTGGTCATGGTGTGGTCCCAGCCATCACTGATCCATAGTTGTCTGGATTACTTGCAAGGTGGCCTAACAAGTTGCTAGAACTGTGAAATCTCTTTTCTGAGACAAGCTCCTCCTCTAGCTGCCAGCAAGCTCTCAGTCTCTTTCTCCTCCCAGCATGAGATTCCTGGTAGAGTCCCATTACTTTGGGGTCCATTATTTCAATAGTCTGATAGTCAGATTGAAGAACAAAAGAGTCTCTTTAAAATACCTTCATTTCTGACAGGCCAGTTACTGAATGATTTCCACTCATGTGAAGTACCTTGAGTGGACAAATTCATGGCTGCAGAAACTACAATTGTGTTTGGGGGGGCAGGGAGCAGACGGAGTGGGAAGTGGGGATCACTGCTCAATAGGTTGAGGGCTTGAGTATGGGATATAGCATAGGTCTGGAGACTGAGTGCTGTGACAATATGAATGCATTTAACGTCACAAGACACTAGAAGAATATTCAAAATGGTAACTTGATGTGATGCATACTTGTCACAGTGCTCGTGTGTAGGGGAGGGCACTGGGTGGGGACGGGAGGGGGGCTGGGGGAGAAAAGATGCCATGCATATCAAGAGGAGAATTCAATAGTGAAAACCAGCTCTGCCCAGGACTAGAAAGAAAACCTGGCCAAGGAAACATATCAGGGTACCCCCAAGGAGGAAATAACAAGAGGAAAAATGTGGCAGGAATCCTCATGGCTCTCTTCCCTTCTACCTTTGTCTCTCAGTCAGTGGTCAGCTTCCCATGAACAGAGGACTACCTCCCGGCCTGGAGCAGCAAAGCACATCACTGTAGCTGCCTCAGTGTCCTCTGAAAAAGGATTCCTTCTTCTCACCAGCTGACTTCCCTGCTCTTACAGGTCTACCAGAATGAAAGTCTCAAAAGGAGAGAAACCCATCTCTCCATGACAATGGATCCTAAGCACATTACTTAAGAGCACTGGCTGTTCTTCCAGAGGACCTGGGGTTCAATTCCCAGCACCCACATGGTAGCTCACAACTGTGTAACTCCAGTTTCAGGGGATCCAACACTGTCCTCTGGCTTCCACAGGCACATGGTGCAGAGATATACATGCAAACAAAGTACCTGTATACATAATTTAAGAATTTTTAAAAAGTCAGAACATTCATAGACAAGAAAATCTTTGAAAGCTAGTGCATGGTACTAGCTGTTGAAATCTCTAAAGATGTGGGCCCCAGTCAAGTGGCAGGCAGCCATCCCTCCAGCCAGATGACCCCCAGCAGGGCAGTTAGGAAACACTCAGGTACTAGTGGAAAGAGCCACGGAACCACTTCTCTGTGTTATTCACAAGCCTGGGATGATGGTAATCTCTTCTCAGTGACAGCCCTGCTTCTCAGGATGTCTTATTCCTTCCCTCTCTTCCCACTGCTCATCAAACCAGGCCTCCCAGTCTCCTTTAAATCTCAAAAACCAAAGGCATCTTGCAGGGAGGTGGTGGCACACGCCTTTAATCAGCATTTGGGAGGCAGAGGCAGGTGGATCTCTGTGAGTTTGAGTCCGGCCTGGTCTACAGAGTGAGTTTCAGGATAGCCAGGGCTACACAGAGAAACCCTGTCTCAAAAAAACCAAAAATAAATAAATAAAATAAAAATCAAAGGCATCTCTTTTTGGCCTCTGGGTTACTGCACTTGCTGCTTCCTTTGCCAGAAACACAGTTCCAACTCATGTCTCACCAACCAGGCCTCCCGACTGATGGTACCCAGCTCCCATCACTGACTAAACAGGCATGTCCAGCTGGTGACTCTAAGGCCCCACACATGAATCTATGAATCAAGTCCAACAGCAAATCATAGGATTACTTAAAGTATTATAAGATTGTTTTATGATTTTTTGGGGGGAGGGGTGGTTCTGTAGTGTGAACTTCGAGATGATATCATGCTGCTGTATCAAATGTTGGCCTCTAATAATCACCCTATATTTTGTTTGTCTGTTTGGATGCTAACCGGAGGGTATGGACTTGCCATTTGCTTCACTGTGGTCTGCTCACGGCTCCAGTCTGGATTACACACCACCCTGTCTCCCTCTGTTTGCCCATTGTCTTTCTTGTTCTTTCTTCCCAAGCATCCACATGGTCCCCATAAGTGGCCATCATAGGGGTAGAGCAGATGTTTGCATATAGGATAGCCTCACACAGAAGCTCTGGCCTCAAACTTCAGAGGCTATGAGTCAGGGTACCATAGGATATCTTATGTAGTGGCCAGCTCTTAGGGGCAGATCAGCCCACAGGATAAGGAGAACCAAGAGGATGCTCTGAGAGAAGGCAACATAGGGTTCAGGATCAGAGCAAGTGCAGGAAAGGAATCAGGAAAGACAAAGGAATAACCCAGCCCCACAGTGCCCCCACTCCTGGCTACCTGAAGAGGACTTGAGGCCTGGAGAAGGGGAAGGAGGATCCTTACAGCCCCATTGGGGAATTTGGACTGGGGGGGCAGTCGAGAAAAAAGAGGGGAGGCAAAGGACAAAGGGAAGAAGTTATGCAATGATGGAGAAGAAATCTCCCCCCTCATGTTTCTTGGAGTCCTGAGCTAATTACCCCACTCCACTCCACAGCTGAGGGTGCCTAACCCTCCACAGAGCAGAAGTGCATAGACACAACAGCTCAGGGTTCATTTATCTGCCCCGATTTCCTGAGTCATTTCTAGTTTGAATACATATCTAAAAGGAATTTTCTTGTTTTCCCATCTAATGGCAATCATACTGCAGAGCCACACAGATCTATTGTCAGAGCTGCGTGAAAACAATATTAAGGACAATGAGCTTTTTCATACTTGTTTGCTTAGCAACATCACCCATCTGCCCAAGATGCTGTATTAGCAACAAGGCTGGCTGCCCCTAAACACACAGCTCCTGGCTTGGTCAACTCTCAAGTCTCCGCATATCTAACAAGCCCTTATTGCATCTGGAAGACTCTCCCAAGGTTACCAAATGTTGGCCTGACCCAATTTTCACCAGACTAGGAATGGCAGATAGCGTTTTGGCTCCAGAGTGTTACTCCCAGGAATGTCATTTCCTGGCAAAAGGTATTTTGCCCATGTAATTGAGGTACTAATTAGCTGACCTTAAATTAAGATCCATGTGAGCTCACCATAGTCCCACAAGCCCTTAACAGCAGAGACCTTTGAGTGGGAGTGACTGGGAAATTAGAGATTGGAAGCATGGCAGGGCCTTGTTAGTCATTGTGTTTTAAAGGTGAAGAAAGTCATGTGTCAAGGAGAGGAGGGCTCGGCCTGCAATGGTAAGGACCTCAATACCGGGGTTGGAGAGATGGCTTAGCAATTAAGAGTGCTTGCTGGTCTTGCAGAGGACCCAGGTTCAGTTCCTAGCACCACACTGGGTGGTTCACAATGCTCTCTTCTGGTCTCCATGAACACAAGGCATGTGCATATTATGCATACATACATACACATTGGAACTCACACATACACATAAAAATTTAAAAAACATACTAGATTCTGCCAGGAACCCAAACTAGCATAGAAGTAGACCTTCTCCAGTCATGTCTTTGGACATGGATCCAGCCCTCGGTTTGGCACCTGTCTGGAGTGGCAGTCACTAGGGAAGTGGAAGCAGCAAGACCACAAGTTAATAGCCTGTTTGGGCACCTTAGCCTGTTTCAAACTAGCCAAACAAAAGTTTAAAACTGAGGATCAAGTCCAAGCATAGAGTGTTTCCCTAGCATGTGCAAGACCCCGAGTTCAACTCCTAGTTGAGCTATTAGATGAGCGAGGTTTAGACCACCACAGTCATGGTGATCTGTTGCAGCAAGACAAGAAGCTAATGTTCTCAGGTAGACTGAGAAAAGCAGGATTGGCCTAGTGAGTTGCCTTCCATTTAAAGAATTAGTTTCATGTGTGTAGCCGGATCCTTGCTGCTCTACACGGTGCCAAAGCCGTTTACTCTACGAAGTGATAGGTAGTGGGAGGTCTTGTTTTGAATGTGCTGATGTGGCAAAGTAAAGAATCCTGTGCCCTATTCAGCCTTTTGTCCCCTAGTCCACTTCTTTGTGCATGAATCTAGGTGATGCAATCTATCCCACCACCCTGCACTGCTCTTGTTGCAGGGGAAGATAAGGAACAAAGAGGAAGGACTCTCTCCCATCTTGCCAGGATTAGGGGATTTCCAGGTTCCCAGTTTCTAATAATTAGTGAACTCAGAAATTGAAGAGAAGGTTAAAGCTATGCGTTCTGGAAAGACCATTTCCCTCAGACAGGGCTGCAAGTCAGAACCTCCTCTGTGTCAGAGCTCTTGGCCTAAGGCAGGAGAACTCACCCACTGGAGAGTAAGACCTCTTCCTCCCCTGACAGTTCTAAAAGTCACCCAAAGGAATCTTTCCTTTCCTCG